ATCTTAATAAAAGAGAAGTGTTATTTTTCCCATTTCAGACACAGGGAGTAGAGACACAATGAGCTGTGGAGCTTGTATGAAAATTCATTGTAGTAAAAAAAAAGTTTCTGCTAGCTGGGATAAGGTGTTAAATGTTTTATTTAGCATGTCAGAGGAAATTTCTGACAGAGGTGAAATTGAATCTACTTATTCCAAACTTCATTCTCATGCCTTCACTAGCAGACAACCTTTCTCTCACTTTTCAGCTGTCTCCTTCCATTTTCCTGATATGTCTGTATTGACAGTAATGTGTTCTTTGGAGTGCAGAAGGGACGGACCAGGACCGGGGCTCCCTCCCTCATTAAAACTACCTATGGGAAAACCGTGGGGTGAGTGCCCCTTTTGCCTTCTGACCAGAGACCACGGAATGGAAGCTGCTGCAATAGCTTTTACCAAGTGCTCCCTGTGGCAACAGGGATTCTCAGCTGCAGAGTGCTTTGCATTATTGATACGGTACAGCACGGCCTTAGCGAATCAGTTATCTTGGGTTTGATGCTGATATATATTTATGTCTGCAGATTTAGTTGTGGCTTTTGTTGTTTAAGCTGAAGCACTAAAATAGCATTACTCTTTAAGAAATCTTAATTTTCTGCAATATATTCTTAGTGAAGTCCTTTGCATCAGAGCCTCTTGTGTTTAATTAAATTCTCTTTTGGTCCTGATGTCTGTTCCATGTTCCCACATTCTAGTGAAAGGGCAGAATGGGTCAGCATTGAGAAGCAGCAGTAAAAGAAGAAATGGGGGGGAAAAAACCCACAAACTCTGAGTACTTGGCTAGAATACTGCCTTTAAAATTCACTGTTTAGAATCCCACCTGCAGAACAGCAGTAGTCATCTCTATATATAGTGCTTCACAAAAGCTTTCTAAACATCTTTGTAAAAATAAAAAACATATTTCACCAGGTCGATCTTGCGTTTGGATGACTAAATGTTGGCTTGTGATGAGGCTGTGCTGATTTATTTTCATCAAAACACATTCACAGTTTGCAAATGTAATCATAATGCTCCTATTCAAATGATATATTAGAAGGAAGAAGAGTGGAATAGGTGTGTCAATCTGCTATTTTTGACAATAACATCTAAACTTAATGAGTTACCCAGAATGAAGAAGCTTCAGGAATTACAAAGGAAACGGGTTCTTTCACCAGCTTAAAAAAATTTAAAATATACAACCTAAAAGCATGCTTATCTCCATCTATAGCTGGCATGTACACCACCAACTCATTAGGAGAAGAAAGTTGGAAATACTCAGCACTTACAGATTGACATCTGTAAAGATAACAGGTGTGGGGAAATGGAGAGAATGTTTAAGAAAAGGAAAGATTTGTCAGAGTTGAACCATTTTTAATCTCCAGAACTATTTAGGAGAGAAAGTGGAAGTATTTGGGAATTGTTAGGGTAAAATTTAGAGCGTGCAGGCTGTGGTTTTCAACTGGAACAAGCTATTCAAAAGAATTTGTTCATCCAGAAATACTTTAAGAGCCTTCAGTTTTCTTTCTAAAGATGAAGCGGGCACACAAGGAGCTGTCCCAGGCCGTGAGCGAGATCTCGGGGCCTCCCGTGTGCCGTTAGCCCCCTGCGATGGCACGGAAAGGGGTCGCCTGCAGGTCCGCGGGCGATCGGGTGGCATCGAGCTCCACCTACTGCGGTAGTCCTGTAGTTCGTTTTACCTACAGCTGCTGGGTATGATCTCAAGAAAAAATGACCGTAATCATTTTAATGGAAGACTTTTGGGTCATTTCCTCATGTAATCTCACTTTAAGATGATCTTTCATATATTACTTTATGATTTTTTTTAAATTACTGTTTCTTACATATGGAGTTGTATGAGATTTTGTTACTTCACTATAATGAAAATGGGAAATGATCACTGAAACCGACCCTTTGATGGCTTAAAAGCAAATTAGATGAACTATGATGAAAGTCTTCGTAAGTTGGAGACACTAAAAAAAATCCCCAGCTCCCAGACTCCAGTGATTGTCATGATAATATATCGTCGAGTTTAACAAATCAGACATACCAGTATTGTTTTCTCAGTCTTTTATATCTGCACTGCAAATTAAAAAGAGAGAGTTCTACTGTTCTATAGTCATGTAGCGTTACCCTTTTAAGCTCAAATTGCACCTTTTCAATACATGATGTTGTAATGAAAGATAATGTTGTAGAAAAGGAATCTATTCCCTTCTGTTTTCTGTGATGAGGCTGATTGAATCACATTATCGGTGCCTGAGTGGAGAGGGTGGTGTATGTGATACCTCCCTCCCTCCCTGAACAACTGTGCAAAGGTTAGGTAGGTTCACAGCTCTTTTTCCTTTCCTTGTGAACTGGCAGAGCTGGCTGGCCAGAGGTAGGATGCAGGGAAATGTTGCACCTGCGAACTCTTCTTCAGTGCCCTGTGGCACTAGACACTTGAAATGAGCACAGCTAACTGGCTCCAGACCCTTGAAACCTTAGGGCTGCATTCTACCACTCTTCCTTCCCTTGACTAGTAAGTTGTTCTGAGAGACTCTCAATTAGTTTTAATCATATTATTCAAGGTAGTGCCAGCTGTAAAAGTAGCGGTACCTGGCTGTTGTCAGGATTTTGCTGCTTCTGCAAAAAACCCCAAACTGTCAAGAGCAAAGCAGACTGGAAATTCTGCTGTTCGTGGAGTGTAAGATGCTTCTGTGCCAAGTCCAAATCGGATTTCTTCTAGCTTTCTCTCTTAAATACAGACAATGCATGTGATTAAAATAAAGAAAAAAGTCCCAGCAGCGTCAGTCTACTGCATGCTGTTCCTGTAGCAGAGATGATGATAATAAAACTGACTCAAGTTTACGGTTTTTGGTTTTGTTGCTTACTGTACTGTGGGATGATGCTGTGGTGGTTAGCATTACAGATTACAAATAGACATGCAATGTAGAGAAGATAGCCATATGGAAATAGTAACAGAAAAGGAGAAAGAAGATTGAATGATGTCCAAATACTTAGAATTTCTTGGATTTTTCATTGTATTCTCAAAAAAGTACGCCCTGATACAAGTTAAATATTGCCCAAAATGTGAAAACTTTTCCAATTTTAAAACCAAACTGCTTCTGAACTACTTCTCTGGAGGTGTCTCACCTACAGAGTCTTCTGTTCCATCCATCTGGGACCTTTCTACCTTTAAGAGTATCCTAAAATTTAGAAGGCTAAGTCAGAGGAAATAATTATTTGTCTTTTAGCACTATTTATGTTCTGGATAGATGATTTGTGTTCATAAATATACAGGAATGTAGATAGAAATATTTCGGACTACTTATGCTGGAAATTTTCTTGTTAAAGGGTTTTGTTTGGCAACGCCTTTCTAAAATCCAGTCTACTTTTGAAAGCCTGTTTTCACAGATAAAGACATTTAGTTTTCAGAATCTGCTTCTTACTACAAATAGTTAAAATAAATATCTTTGATCTCTGGAATAATATACCAAATATTAATTATTAAATTTATGTAATGACAAATACTTATTTTTATTTTTCCTAAAGTTCAGTGTAACAGACTCCTCATACTGAATGCATGCTCATCCCCAGTCATCTCCTCTGATTAGCATTTCCTACTGGTGAAGTACGGCTGCCTGCTCGGACTGTAAAATTATTCCTCCCTTGTTCGGTGTGTGAATGAGGCTTTCTCAATCACTGAGGTGGGCTCTAAAGTCCATTCGTTGCCTCTGTAAGACTCATGCTCCTGAGCAGTGTCTTTTTGCTGTCTGCCTCTGCTGCTGACCAGTCTTGGTCAAGTGCACCCCGATTGTATGAAACAGCAGAGCCTTCAAACTTCTCTTTGATATTTCTTTAGTTCATCTTTGTACTCTGGCTGCAGTAAATCTTCTTTTCATTCCAGCTGCTGTGCTCTTCGTATCATTTCTGGGTTTGGGTTTGCTTTCCCCCAGCTAGTTTTCTACACGTTTGTGGGCTGCCTCTGTCACTATATTAGAACGTTGGTGTTTACAGTTCTCCAGTGGGTGAAGATACTGTTCCTTACACTTTGAACCTTTGTTCTGCTGAAATGTTACATAGGAACATAAATTTGGAAAGAATTTTGTGCCTTCTCAAGTCAAGATTCCAACAAGCAAAATGCTCTGATCTTAATTTTTTTTTTAAATACTGGAGTATTTCTTGGCTTTGCTCTGTTGTGCAAAAGCTATACAGCATAGCAAGCGTTTCGTCTGCCGCTCTCAGTCTGCTGTGCAGCCTTTTTTGTACATCGGCTCTACCCTGACTACATGCATGCAACTTGCTAGGGCCTGCAGCTTTGCTGTGCTTGGAATCAATAAATGAGCTCTTTGATCTAAAACTAGTGCAGGAGGGAATTACTGTTTTCATATCTTTTTAGCCTGAGCACCGTACACTGCTGAGTGATCTGAAGTCTTTTGTTCATCTACCTATATAATTTTTTTAAATAGGAGGGAATACGTCATCTTTTCACTTGAATAAACTGATGGTTGAAGGAGTTCTAAAAGTGTGCTTGTATTTGACTTCAGGGCTTTTTATGAGTCTGTGCCTTCCTTGTGGGGGAAAGCACAGACTCAAGAACAGTGGTCTATCACAGTGTGTATCTTCAGGGAAGAACAGTTACAGGTAAGTAATTTCCTATTCCTGCTTTTGGAAATTGGATTTTCTTTTTATGTTAGACACAGTATTCTATATAACAGTCTTCCAAGAGAAAAGTTATGTTTTCTAAGCATTTAAGCATGGTAATTTAGAAAGCATGTATGCATTTTACACAGTAGCTTGTCAGCAGGTAATATGAGAATTTGTTTGTGCACCAAAGTTACTTAGTGACATTTTAAGTTTTCCTACAATAGACTAGCCATTATTTTTGCCTTAGTTTGCATCTCTGTATCAAACTTTATTTGCACCACTTAATTTTGAAAATTATGACCTGCTACAGTACAGGTGACTAGCAGTACTTCAGATATGGTTACATGGTTTTGTTCATTTTTTAGGAACCAGTGAAAAAAGATGTGCAGGAAAAACCACCCAAAGAAGTGGCTGAGATTACTACTAACAAGTACTCTTTTAATCCAGAGGTGAGACTGCAGGTGAAGCTTTGATTCAAGATGTAGTTAAAGAAGGCAACAAAGACCATGTTTTACATTATTCATACAGATATCTGTTTGCTGAATTCAGGTTTAAAGCCTTAATGTGTACAGAAGGAACCAGCCTTTTGTTGACTGCTGAACACTTCATAGGTTTTATCTAGTAAAACTCTTCCTGAAGGTATCAGAAAAAAAAAAATCACTGAGTGAGATGTAGGGTTCTATTGTAATTTGGTAAAAATAGTGTTCCGAAAATTCAGTTTAGCTGTGTTGGTTATTCTGTGTGTCAATTCTAGAAGACTGACCTTTAAACTATATTACAGTTTAGCACAGAAATGGCTAATACATTAAAAATGCCTTTTTATTTCAAAAATTCATGTTTTTATTAAAGTACATAGGTCAATATTGCACATCCTTAGATCTCAAAAACCTGAAGCTTAAAAGAGCTGTTCCTTTGGGTGTTGTGTAGAGCTGTACAAATGAACAGTTGTTGAAGATCTAGCCTATACCTGGTTTTTCAGCCTTTGCCTGGTGTGACCTTAACCTACAATTTTAAATATTGAAAGACCTGGAGATAATTTTACTTAAATGCCACTTTTTGGTCAGCACAGAACAGTTAACTGTGGTGAGTCTGATCTAAATCATCCAAGACCACCCAAGTTTGTGTTCTATTTGGTATGCACTTAGGCCTGTCATACAACAGTGTAGTCTGTGGCTATCTATCCCAAAGCAGTTCAGGCCTTGTAAATAGAAATAAAATGTTGGAACTAAAACAGATTTTAATTTCTCTGTATGCATTTAACAATTTACCTGAATTTTATTTGACAATCCAGCAAAGAGATTTAATTTTTTGTCACGTGTCATCTTTGTTAGCTTGTTTAAAATCTGATCCTTCTCCTTTCTGTTTAGAACAAAACTGAATGTGAGGCAGCTGATTTGATCATAATTTTTTTTATAAAAGAGAAGAATAAAATGTAAACAAAAGAGAAAGGATGATACATTGCAACTATATGAAAACTGACTAACTAACACTTATGATTTTTTTAAATTCATTTTTCAAGTTTTTCTTTAAGAAAGAAAGCACAAGTGTTAGCCTGGCTTCAGCATCCAGTAATATCTCGCCTATCACAACACAATATTTAATTTCCTTTTTTATCTAACTCTCTCAGATTTGTTGGAAGCTAACAAAGTCGAAAAGTGAGATGTGCTGTG